TTTATTCATGTTTTAATTGGTGCCTTATAGATAAATAATGGTGGGATTTTTGTTACATATGCATATATGCACACATTAGAAAAATATAATTTGGTCAAAAAAATCCCCAGTACTTCTCATTTCCTTCCCCTTCTCTCTCTCTGGTCGATTTCCTCTAATCTACTCATCCTCCCACCTTTCTTTTCTTTTTTCCTCTCTAGCTTCCACATGAGACAAAATATATGACTCTTGACCTTTGACTTTGGCTTATTTTGCTTAACATAAAGGACTCAGATTTTGTCCATTTTCCTGCAAATGACATCATTTCATTTTTCTTTATGATGGAATGAAACTCCATTGTGTATATAAATACCATGCTTTCTTTATCCACTTATTTATTAATGGATACTCAGGCTGGTGCCATAGTTTGGCTAATATGAATGTGCTGCTAAAAAGAAATGGGTATGCATGTTCCACTAGAGTATGATGCCTTCAGTTCTTCAGGATAAATATCAAGGAATGGTCTAAGTGGGTCATAGGGTGGATCTATATCTAGCCTTGGGAGGAGACCTCCTACTGATTGCAATAGTGGCTGTACTAATTTACAATCCTGCCAGCAGTATAAAGTGTTCATTTTTCTCCACATTCTCACCAGTATTTACACTTATTTGTATTCTGTCTTGATAGCTGCCATTCTAACTGGAATTAGATGAAATTTCACAGTAGTTTTGATTTTCGTTTCCCTAATTGTTAATGATGTTGTACATGTTTTCATTTATCTGTTGACCATTTGTATTTATTTTTTTGAGAACTGTTCAGTTCATCTCTGCCCGTTTAGTGATTGGTTTATTTGTTTTTTTGTTTTTTGTTTTTTTTTATGGTTGTTGAGGGCCACAACTAAGTTAAGATGGCGCCTGGCAGTGTGCCAGGAGGAGTGGTTTGTGAGCCAACACCAGCGAGCCATTAAGATGATGAGGATTCCTTAATGACTGACTGCTGTATCTAGATGATGTTAATTAAGTTAATCTGTGTGTAATTAGTTGGGTATATATACCTCTACTGTCCAGTAATAAAGGGCTCCCGCTGTTTCAACTTTCACCAGTTGCTTGTCACCCCCGGGTTATTTTGCCCACCCAGACTGCGGCAGATTCTTGATGTTCATCTTCTCTCAGAGGCAGCCACTGCACAGTGATAAGGTCCATGACATTCTCACTCCCCTTTACACTTTCTCCTAGTTTCATGTTCAATGAATTGTATATTCTCAAGATTCTTATTTTCATATCTTCTATTTCTCACTTATTGGAATGAACCTTGTGTATTCTCCTCCACAAAGACAAGGTTTCTGAAGTTCTCATGATGCCTCGGGCATGAGGCATGTGTTTGGTGGAGCAGTGTTCTCTGGTTGGCATGAAAACTCTGTACCAATGAATGTGTCAAACTCAGAATGTAAGGAAGAAGAAAAGGCACCCTGCCCCATGGTCCAGCAGCTCAGAAACACGGCAACAAAACAAAACATCATGCATAATCAGTGACATTTTACCAAACTTACCTCTTAGAATTGTGATCGTAAATGTCCCCCAAAATCTCAAGTGTTAAAGACTTGGTCACCAGCTAATGGCACTAGAGGGATGTAGTAGAAACTTAGGAGGTAGGGCCTGGATGGAGGAACTAGGTCATTAGGAAGCATTCCTTTAAGGGTTACATTGGAACCCTAGCCCCTTCCTTTTTCTCCCTTTGCTTCCCAACTGCCATGAAGGAAGCAGCTTTGCTCTACCACCTACTCCCTGCCATGATGCTCTGCCTTGCTATAGGCCCAAAGCCATGGGGCCAACCAACTATGGGCTGGAACAGCTGAAACTGGGAGCCAAAATAAACTTTTTCTCCTTTGGTTTTTCTCAGGTATTTTGTCCCAGCAATGGAAGGCTGACCAACACACCTCCTCCAAAAGATCTTGGACCTTTAAAGCTTTATTTCTTTGATATATTTTTATAGCAAAATATTGAGAAAATTAAAAAAGATATGAGATTTTTCTGCCTGATCCCCACCTGAATCCTATGTTGTGTTTATTTCTTAATGTGGTTCTGAAATGAAAGGAGTATACTATGTTAAGAAAAAATGATATGGGAATATGATGGGATACAAGAGAAAAAAGATATGAGAGAAAAGTCAAAAGTTCCTTCATGCTGCTTCAGATCTTTTTTGAGCTGAGTAACTGGATAAGAGACAATTAGGCATTATACTCAGAATTTTCTTGTGAGATGAGAAAATTCATAATTTTGCTGAAAAGAAATAAAATGGTAATTATCTTGCTTAATATCATACAACAAGGGAGTAAATATTAGTATATCAATGGATATTATAGGCATTTGTATTTGTACTTTCTCTTGTATTCCTTTAATTTTCTTTCCTGCCTGTTGATAGTTAAATCCTGATGTTGAATTTTATTGATTTGCTAAATATCAGCATTATTGAATAAAAGTCCACTCATGATTTTAAAAGAAGGAGAGCATTTATTTAACATTAATCTGTTTAAGTGGATTAATGCACTGATTAGACTAAGGCTCTCATAACCCAATCATTTCACCCCAAAATTTTCTCAGCTCATATGTAAATCATAACAGGAACATTTATACATTGTTGGTGGGACTGCAAATTAGAAAGGCTTTTTTAATAGAAATGAGGTAAATGAGTTGGAGATCAAAGCAAACAAGCTATTTGATATACTTTGAGTATAGCTCTTGTTAACACTTATTCAATATATACAACTGGAAAAGAAATGTTAGCTATAGCTTTCCCTTTCATTTCCAGAGAGGAAGGAATATCAGAAATGGGAGACATTGTGTACAATAAGGATTTTAATATTTTTAAAAGTCTAAGATAATTTGCACATCACAGTCTCAAATAACCAAGTCTCATCTCTGGTGCTTATACAAATATTTATTCACAAATTCATAATTTATTTAAAATTAACTGGGGATTTTCTTCCACTAATCATTTCTCATTGTAGCTTAGGCCTATGAATTTTTTTCTTTTGTATTCCAATTATCTCCTTACAGATAGTCTACAAATGGAAAAAAACTTATGCATTCTAAGTAGGTAAATATAGTAAATATATTCCTGAATTTCACAGTTATTGATAATTCTTTTTAGTATAAAAAAGGAGAGAAATTACATTCTTTGATCTCTATGAAATGATTCCTGAATTTACTTTTATATTAGACTTTAAGAAGAGCTAAACATACTTAAAGCTTAAATATAAAAAATAAGTTTAGTAAATAAGCAATATAGTATTTCAGAATATAAAATAAATATTCGACATTATTACATTTGACAAAAAAATTAAGACAGGCAAGAGTATTCACAGGAAAATCTGAGATATTCTAGCATCAGAATTTTTGTCAAATGTGAAAGATTTTGAATAAAATTTCTTTAGAATATTGATGTTATCTATAAGGTAGAAAATTTGGGGCATTTAAAATTTAGTTCCTGATTGCAAAAAAAAAAGCCAAATAGTGACAACTGAAGGATATTTCTTTAATAAACCATCTTCTATTTCAAATGAAATATTCTTAAAGCACTACAGTTTTATGAAAACCACTTGAACAAGCATACCCTCTATTTTAAAAGTATATTTGAATATTTCCAATGCCTCCATGAATATTTATCTAGATACATAGATTTAAATTTTTTCACTATTGTTTTTAAATTCAGGTTCATTTACTTGCATGGAGATCTGACAAGTTACATTTCCTTTTAATTATTTGGGACAAAACCTATTTAGCAATGTGTTACGTCAAATAAATCCAACCATTAAGAAATTTTATGTAAGATCACCAGTTATCTTCTGTGAAAACTAAGACATAGACAAATATTCATAGAGCAAACTTATAAAACTCTTTTAGGGAAAATTCTTTTGATCAAACTGACATATGATACCACTCAAAGGAAAAGAGTCAAAACATTCAGTTTTACATAAATGTCTCTGGTCATTGTATCTAATTTTAATGTTCAATTCACTTAGTTTGAAAAATAATATACTCTATTAGAGCTATACGGACTTAATTTTATATATGATATCTTTTAAATCTATGGAGTACTCTGAAAGGATGTTACTGTTATTTTGCATCCTAAGTGACATAAAGCCAGAGAGATTTCAACTTTAACAATGCATGAGGTTTGTGAATAGTAAGAGACCATTTTTTGAATCAGTGTGTTTCTAGTCATATACATTTTTTTATTTTTTGTCATTTGCAGATTATCTAAGCCTTACATGCTGTATATAGTTTATGGATTCACATGCATGACAATATCTGTCATACAAAGTCTTGAGGATGAAACTACTACATTTCACAAAACATGACAGACTATAAGTAATCCATAAGTGTTGTCTATAATTTTTATTGGATAACTGCCATAGCAGTGATGTTTTAATCTTTATAACATTTCTTAATCTGCTTCTGAAAATAAATATCTTTCTAGGGATGGTTAAAAATTTGAAACTGTCAAACTATGTAGTTAAAGAAACATTATTAAATTTATTTATTCAAGTTTGTACTAAACACTGCATTTTTAAAAATTAGATTTCACTTTCTACATCTACTAATTATAAGCGCATTGGGTGATCAAATCTAGAAAGTGTATTAGACTCTATATAAAATATATAACAAATTTAATCCCTGAGTTCCAGCATATTGAGAAGAAATATGGAAAAACTGAATTCTTACTGTCTCCCTCTGACAGAATTTTGAGAAGAAATAAGTACAGCAACAAAATAAATAAAGGCAAATGATTTTAATCAAAACCAAAAGGTATCTTTCTTATGTGCTCTCAGCATGAAGAAAAATAGAAATAAGTGTTATGCTTTGGAGATTAGGCAGACCACAATAAAAATTATCAGTCAAGAAAAAGGTCATGAGATTTTGAACATAGATATTGAACAAATATATATTGAATATAGATATTGAACACTTCACTCTTCTTAGTTTACTCATAACCTTAGTAAATCATTAAAATGGTTCACATCAGTGAGAAAGCTTTATGTTTTTGATCATGTGCTTAAAAGCATCTTTCACTTGTTTGTTTCTCAGTGTATAGATGAAGGGATTCAACATGGGGGCAACAGAAGTACTGAGCAGAGCTATACCTTTATTTAAGGACACTCTTTCCTTTGCAGAGGGTTTCACGTACATGAAGATGCAGCTGCCATAAGAAATGGACACGACAACCATGTGAGAAGAACACGTAGAGAAGGCTTTCCTCCTCTGTTGAGAAGAAGGGATTCTCAGAATAGTCCTGATGATGTGTGTGTAGGAGAGAATTACCAACATCAGTGTAACCAGGAGTGTCAGAATGGCTGAGAAAAGCATCATTAATTCTATTTGATCTGTGTCTGTGCAAGAGAGCTGAAGTACAGGGGAGACATCACAGAAGAAATGATCTACAGCATTGGTTGCACAGAAATCAAGCTGGAGACCCATGATGACTGGTGGAAAAATGATCAGGAAACCAGCCACCCACGAAGCAAACACCAGCAGGTTGCAGACTGAGCTTCTCATGATGGTCATGTAGTGCAGAGGCTTGCAGATAGCCACATAGCGGTCATAGGACATGGCAGCCAGAAGAAAAAATTCAGTTGCCCCCAAGAGAATAGTGAAAAACAGTTGTGCTGCACAATCATTGTAAGAAATGGTCTTATCACCTGTTGCCATACTAACAAGAAATTTGGGGATACAGACAGTTGTGAACGAAATTTCTAAAAATGAGAAATTCCGGAGGAAGAAGTACATGGGTGTCTTGAGATGAGAATCCAATAGGGTGAGGGCAATGATGGTCAGGTTCCCTGTAACACTCAACATGTAAGTGAAAAAAAGGAGAAGAAAAACCACCACCTGTAATAGTGGATCATCTGTTAGTCCAAGAAGAATAAAGGCTGTGACCATTGTGTGGTTTCTCATAGCTGATTTCTACCTTAAAAAAATACATAAAGAATAAAAAAAAATAGAAATGAAGAAGAGAATTCTGCATGAGATATATTTTTTTCTTGATATCTTTCATAAACCTGTTGCTATCCACACCCAACCTCCTTCAATATTTTATTCAGCTGTAGTAACCTAGAATATTTTACTCATATGATTTTTACTCAAAATTTCGCTAAATAAATGCAAGATTCTGAGTTTTTTTTATTTTCTCAAAGTCCATAAATACAAACATTCCAAAGGGATAATATGTTGCATTAATAAAGTTATTTAAATGTAAAAACAAAGTAATACAGAATATTATCACAGTATTTAAGTTTTTATCTTCTATACTATATTTCAAATTTTTCCTCAACATATTTACTTTGCATTAAATTATTTTACTTCATCTGGTGTCATGCTTCTTTGCTAAATGTATTATAAGCAACATACAGTTGACTTCAACATCTCTAGCTCATAAATAATGAAGATTTAATATACTTAACAAACTTGTGGAAACTCTCCAAGATTTACATCCTCATGAACACTTTTAGGTCTGCTTTCTTGTTTTTACTGAAGACTTGAATTTATTTTCTTTCTCTTTCTGAGTCTTCCTTGCATTTTTCCCATATTTTCGCCTTATACTTATTATCTTTTGTTGGTTTACTTTGATATTATTTTTGATTGACAAATCACAATTGTAAACCTATCACTTACCCATACATCTCACTTACCCTGGTGGTTGTTCTCTTTCCTCTGTTACACACCTAAGCAGATATAAAGCATATCCTCACATATGATGCTTGTGTTAATGATATAAGATATTTTACTGAATATTTGCAGTGACAGAGTAGGGGTATACAAAACAAAATACAATGTTACATATAAAATATTAACTATGCATCCTTGATAGTTTTCCTAAGTGTCATTTTTCTGTAAGTTTATCCATGTTGCCATTGCAACGTCTTCTGGATCTTAACGTTCCTATTCAATTTTATTTCTGGTTGAACATAAAACAATTAAGAATTAGGCTAACATTTACATTTTTTCTTGTTTTTTTTTCTTCTTCTAGATCATGTTTTGTTGCATATGCTTATCACTTGAAAAGTCTATTACCATTTTTTAAAAATATTTTTTAGTTGTTGATGGACTTTTATTTAGTTAATTTATTTATATGCGGTGTTGAGAATCGAACACAGTACCTCACACATGCTAGGCAAGCGCTCTACCACTGAACCACAACCTCTATCACCAATTTTCTACAAAAAGTGACAATACTTTCCTAAGAGGAACATTGGATCATAAATTTATTTAAACCTTATTGTGTGTTGCATATTCCAGCTCTGATTTTTAAAAATGTTCAGAAATTTCCAGCAAGTATAAATGATGATAAAATAACTAAGTTTTTGTCATAACCCGTCTTCATTTCTTTTTCACTGTTTCCTTTCCTTTCTCTTGGTTTCAACTGGTCATTTTTTCTAAAAATTTCCACATATCTGTATTCTGGTTATTTAAGCACAATTCATAGGCAGTATGATTTTTTTTTTCAAATTCAAACTTACAGTCATGGAAGGGAAAAAGAAATAATAAAACCTTAATTAACAAAAGGTGAATTATAGAGGGTGCAAAAGTATAAAGTCAGAAGTAAATTCATATATGAATATTTTAAATCTGTTTAAATTAAAGATTATATAAAACTATTTTTTTAAAAAGTTCTTGACCTCATTAGCTTGCTACTTAATCACATAATAAAATGTTCTCTAGATGATAGTAAAAGAGTCATGCATTTCTAAGTATCATTATAATCCCAGAGCTATCTGTGACATATTAGATAATTTATTAATGAGATAAGAGATTCCTTCAGATATGAAAAAAGAATCTTATGTGAAATTTTAAAATTATATTGAATTAAATATAACTTCTTTATAAATATGGGAGAAAGTCTTTCAACTGCAGGACAAATCCATCTTTTCAGTGTCATATTCATAACTACCAAATGTACAAGAGGCATAAGCAGTTATAAATATCAGGAGGAAAAATGCATTTATCTAATAAAGGCTCTATTGTAACTGTATATCTGTTCAAAACTTCATTCTTACAAAATTAGTTTTCCAGATTTTCTTTTAGCACAATTGACTCCTTCTGTCTAGCTTCCAAAATGGTCAGCTTAATGTGTGCATTATAAAAAAAATTAGTTCTAAATTCATGCCGTACTACTACAATGATTTCAAAAAAGAATAATTTTCTTTCTTTCGAATCCTGCTATAAATTTAATAATATTAAAATATATAACTTTTCCAAACCTTAATTTCTTCAGGAATTTCACTCTCAATTGTCTTCTTCTTATGTAAGTCACAGAACAGAGGCAATTTCTGAATGTTTCACAGCCAATGTGTCTTTATGTTACTTTAACCCATATTTCTATCTTGATGTTGTCTCCAAAACTACATTAGTACCAACAAAATTCACTCTGAATGTGTAAATTTTAAGATTTTGTCACTTCTCATTTTTTGTTAAAAGAGGCAATATTCTCCAACTTATGCTATATTAAATTTGAAGAATATTTTCTTGGGTGACACATATTTTTTTAAGTCCAGAAAGGTGGAGAACAGAGATTTAGGGCTTGTTGACTTTGAGATGTTTCTACCCTGTATGAGCTTGTGTTGTGGGTTTTAGGATGGCAAAAACTGTGATCCTTTTGTACAAAGGGCCAATTCTCTCAAGAGAATTAACTGACTTTAAAAAAAAAAAAATTTAAAGAAGAAATCAATTCCCTGAAGACTACAGTACTAGGATGTTAAGAACAGACTAAAATTATTTTATTGACTGGAGAAAATGCTACAATCTATAAGCTCAATTTTAAAAACAAAATAAAAACTACTTTTGGTGGTGGCTATATGCTATAAATCATACAGGGGTGGTGGTGATAACAAAACCTAATTCAGCTTACATATGCATAACAAATGTTCATTTCAAACAAGAAAAAATAAAAATAACATCTATAGTGTAGAAATACTGAAGGGCATTATCCAAAATTTTAAATTTCAATTAATTCAATAAAGGGCTTATATTGCACATCAATCATTAAGCCTCTGAAGCCACCCTCTTGGTGGAAAATTTAACAGATTTAATCAGATTCAGGATCTAGAAAGAAAACAGGAAGTGCAATGACATTAACATTTAAGAGAATCACAGAGATTTGGATTCAAGGAAAATTAGGACAACATTGTTTCTGAGGACAGGCACATGGAAGTCACCTGCATTTGCTCTGTCCTTTGCCTGTCCACATCCAATCCGTAGACAAACTTTGTTGGTTGTACATAGTAATTATATTTCAAATACATTTGCCCATCTTCATTTCCACTGATAAGTACTTAACCACAAGGTGCTATAATAGATAAGTTTGAAAATCATGGTGGCAATACACATGAGACATTTAAAAAACAGTTTAATGAGGTATAACACACAACAGAAAATGCAATTATCATAATTATGCATCTTGGTCTCTTTTCACAAACTGAATATACCTCAATGATCAGCAAATGAATAAACAGAAATTTGCCAGTAATCCAGAATCTTGCTCCTACTTTCTTCTGGTCATTAGCCCTTCAAGATTGACTACATTCCTTAAGTTCAATGGAACAAGTTATTTTTGCCAATTTTAACAAGTTTAAATATATAGATCAATAGTTGGCAAATGAAGGAAAATAATGGAGAATCACCTGGGAGGTTTTTATTGCTAGATCTGGATATAATTCTCAAACTTTCCATTGACAGGAGCTCAGTTATATAGACAACCTAATGCAAAATGGTCAGCATATTTTGTCCAAATGGGTCCAGCAGGAAAAGTTCTAGGAATAAATTTCTGTGGCTAATGTAATTAAATTCATTATAATGCAATCTATCTTAACCTACAATCTCAATTTATTAACCTGTCGTAGCCTTACTTTACTTTCTTCATAGATCCAATCCATTGTCTATAGAGAATTTAAAATTGTATTTTTAAAAATCTAATTCATATTAGGTCACTTCTTTACTAGTATTAGGTCATGAAACCTACCTGAAATGCAGCTTATTTGGTCAGCAAAACATTCCAACTGTTCTAATTACATGTCAGTATGTCAATCAACTCTTTATTTACTATGTTATCCATTGTAGCAATGGCTTTCCACTGCTCCAACTCTTTGTTAGCTCTCTCCCTATCTTCATCCTCACTCTACCCTCAAGTACCAGGTCTCAGATGATATAGCATTTCCACACAAAAAGAAATGTTTTATTGGGGAGAATACATTTGAGAATACACTCTTCTTCCTTATATCTTTTATCTCAGAATTTTGTTTCTCTTTACACAATCAATATTTATTTTATATGCCATTTTTTCACATTAAAAAAATTCTGAATCTCCTACAAAATTCTCAGGGCAGAGGCTATGCCTGTTTCATTATTCATCCCTATATACTTAAGATCTGGAATAATCTCTGCATCAAGTGGGAAGTGAATATGTATGTGTTTAAAGACAAAAAAAGAATTATTTGGATATGAGAACAGTTGAAGGTAATTCTGAAATTCTGGACAAAATGAAACATAAATTAAAACAATGCCACTGACTAAGAAAGCGTAACAAGAAGAAGCCTGGGTCTGCCTCGTGACCAGTGCTGGCTTCATGAAAGAAGGTTCGATTCATAAGTAAATACTAGGGAGTTTTAATTTAAACAGTCAAGACTCTTATTACCTTTAATACTAGCTCCAGGATGACTTCTCCTAGCTCCCTCCTTCAGCCACCTAATGCGGTGGTGAGGTTTACTGAAGAGACTATCGAGAGCCAGAGAGCGAGAGTCAGAGAGAACACACCAGGGAGTGGGCTTTTATTGGGGAACAAAAAATTCCAGGGAAAATCCCATCCAATGAAGGTTAAGGAGGGCAGCATCCCAAGGTCAGAGGCAATGATTGGGTCTTTGGGGCAGTGGCCAGGCACGCCTCTACACTGACAAGCCTTTGGACCTGGGAAAGGGTGGGGA